ACAGAAGATTATCAGGCTATTTGCAGTATGTTTATTTGACAGAGCTTCTGTATTTCTTTCATGTCAAGAGTTGTTCACTCTTCATCTACCAGTGACACAGATGAATGTCTAAAGCAACATATTTTTCTGAAGAGGATATATCTTTCATCAAATGCTAGCTCCACTAATCTATCTCCTTGATGATGCTATTTTGCCAGCTGGTTTATTTATAAACTGTTTTTTCTCATTCTATTTATCTAGCACTTTTGTACATTACAGAAGGTTTTTATCTCCATTAACTGTGAAAAGTGTGTTTGACTGAATTATTTGAGAGACAAATCCATCTACGTCCTGAGGACCTCGCTGCCACTGTCCAAGCGTACTTGGCCCCGGCAGATGAACCTCAGGATTAAAGGGTGGGCTCAGTTCCGCGCACACTGTGTCTCACCTAAAAAATCCAATGCGCAGGCTGGAAGGTGGAAAGACCTTCCCCAGTTCTTCGTTCGCGAAGAGACTGGCCATGAGAGACAAATATATGTATTTTTATAAAATCATTTCTCAGAAAACCCAAGGAAACTGTCAGTGGAAGGATGTCTGGTTTAATCTGGAAAATGATGTTTTAGAAATGGGCACTAGACATTTCCTATTTATCATATTTTAGCGAAGATGGATGCTCCTTGCTCTTTCCCCCTTCCTTTTTTTTTTTTTTTTTTTTTCCCGGAAACAACAACTTTGCAAATTCAGTCTTGTCTCAAAGCTAAGTCGTGTTGACTAAAATTTATCATCACTAAGAGTTGTATAATCACTGAGTTCAAATGTTTTTCTTCTCTGTGTATACACACCATACACACAGATGTCAAAGAGCTGCATGCTGGGGTTCACATTTTTAGTACAGGGGTAGAACCACTCAGGATTTACATGACTATTTTCTCCAAAGCATTATAAAAGTTGTACAGCTCATTGATCTTTAAATACACAATTTTACTTGTCACTAATGTTGGAGAATATTTTTTTAGGACTATTTTTTTTTGGCAAAAATATAAGAAAAAAAAAATTACCTAGGTTTGCTCATACGGATAGTTTAACTGCTTAGCTGCAATGTCATGAGAATAAATTGGTGTCCCTTTTTAATAATAGATGGGGGAAAATGACATTTGCAAATTTTTTTTCAAGCAATCTCAGATTCTGGGGAAGGATGGAATAAATTTGGGAGAGGAACTAAGCACTTGATGGCTAACTAATAAATGTTGTTTGGGAGAGCTCAACCTCTGTTTACTTTTCTATTGCATGAACAGAAGGATGTGGATTTTGTTAGCCTTGGTGTAGGTAGTGGAAGTTTAGACTCTTAAACTGCTGGTTGTTATATATCCAGCACTGCCATCTCGTGGCCAGGACTGCAGTGAGCATTAGCTTCTTACCAAGAATTAAAGGGGTTTAAGCAGATAAAATAATCACACATTTAAAATTCTTCAGAAACTTAAAAAAATGGAAGCTCCAAGAATAATAGTATTTATATAATCACAAAAGGTACGCTGAGTTTATACTTGTATTTTCACAGAATCTGCCAAGTTGGAAGGGACCCCCAAGGATCATCGAGTCCAGCTCCTCCCCTTTCACAGGACCATCCCCAAGAGTCACACCATGTGCCTGAGAGTACCGTTCAAACGCTTTTTGAGCTCCATCAGGCTTGGTGCTGTGACCACTTCCCTGGGGAGCCTGTTTCAGCACCCAACCGCCCTGTGGGTGAAAAACCTTCTTCTAATATCCAACCTAAACCTCCCCTGACACAACTTCAGGCTATTCCCTCAAGTCCTGCCACAGGTCACCACAAAGAAAAGATCAGTGCCTGCCCCTCCTCTTCCCTTCACGAGGAAGTTGTAACTGCAATGAGGTCTGCCCTCAGTCTCCTCCAGGTGGAACCGCATTAAAGACAAACACCCACAATAAAAATCTAGATTAAAAATAGCTGCAATGAAATAAATGTTCATTCCTGATTTTATTTATCTTGTTCTTAGAAACAAAACATTATTTTAAAATTATTTTTATCTTACCTGCATATATAATGCAGACTTAGTGAAAATTGAATATAACATGAATATAACATGAATATAACATAAATAATCCAGTCAATATTCTCATTTTCTGCATGAAAAAGGCTAAAGAACCTGTTACTTTCAAAATAGGATTTTAAAGCAAAGGCAAAAAAAGAGCAGATAGTAGCATGAAAGGCATTTCCAAATTAAATGGTGGTGGTGGTGGGCAATGTGGGCTATTCACTATCAGTTCAGGTTGCAGTCTAAAACAGCTTTTAAATTGATAGGTTGCACAGTGGCACATTGCATATAGTGTTTGTATTGTCATAGGCCTGTGGGATTCCTAATTCTGTACCAGAATAATACAGTGTTAGATGTATAGATGGCTCCCTCCAAAAGAATTTATTACATATGAGAAAACAAGTTAATGCAAACAGAGAAGCAGAAGTATCAGACAAAAGAAATAAATGCGTATAAACAACAGGTGGAATTCAGGAAATGCTGCAGTACTGGTTAGAACAGCAAACAGACTTGATAGCAGATGTAATCATAGAAACATAAAATTTGCATATGTGGTGGAAAAGTTTCAAGATGGCATATGCATGTAGTACAAACTAACCTGTGCCACTTGCTACTGTAATCAACAACTGATGAAGAACTGACAGGAATTTACTGAGAAGAGATTGACTTGGCCATAGGATCATCCTATAAAAACTTGCAGAGTTTCCATCTGTCACCCATCTGAGACTCTGCTAGCTACAACTACTGAAAACACACCACTGGGCTCTGGTCAAGCAGGATTTAAAGTAGGTCTTAACATTCGCAGTCATCAAGAGATGCTAAGGTAGCTGAGCACTCCATTAATTGGTTAAGCTTTGTCAAATGGCAACTTTCTTCACTGGTGTTCTTGGGCACATCTGGACAGCAGGTTAATTCACCTCATCAGCAGCTGGGCTTCAGCAAGCAGGAGCAGCCCCACTACAGAGCTAACACAACTAAACTCACTGCTGCATAAATCACATATGCACTCACGTAAAGCATTGGTGTACACGCACAAGTTTTAGTCTTGCTCTTGGCAGATACATTAGAATTATTTCTTAATGGACTGTAGGAGAACCTCTCTGTTCTTTTGGAAATGCAGGCAGCACTGAGTGATGGGATGACCTTGGCAGCACACACAGTAAAGCTCACAGCTTGCTCATCTCAGACTCCTGCAATATCCTGTTCTGCATTTTCCCTTGGTAATTCTCTGGCCAGCCTTGACAAAGAAACTTGATGAAAAGAATATCCAGATTTTTGGACTTAGGAATTGTTATTTCATTTGAACCCAAGAACAATTTTTAAATACCTTACATAAAAAGCAATAATGAATGTTCATGTTCTTCCTCCTAATTGTGATTACCTCATCTAGTCTTACAAAACAGAGTTTGCAGAATAGTTAAGGACTTGGTACCTAATGTAATATTCATAATTTCAGAAAATCAGCACATGATTCTCAGATGATGAATGCTCAGAATTATTAGCTTTGAAAATACCTCCCTTCCCATATCTCTGTTTCCAGTTCTCAACAGTTAACTCACGACAGTACTTCCTAATATAACAGAAATTTAGAATATATGTGTAATGGTTGGGTAGTGTACAGATAAGGATGTTTTTCATTAACTGCTATCTAAATTGTGTTATCTAGTATGGTCTTGTACAATCAATACAGTCACACAGCATGTTCAAATAGCATAATTTAATTATGCCAGCATGTGTCTTGATTTCTAAGAGTTTAACTCAGAAGCTTGTGGCTAACGCTACCACTGAATGAGCCTTCAGTCCTACAAAAGGGTGAAAGTGCTGCAGATAGAACCCAACAACTGCAGAAAATAACCAGCAATCAAAAGCTGCAAGCTACAACCTCCCTCCCCCAGCAAACAGAAATGAATTAAACTAGCAGAATAGAAAAAGAAAGGGGTTTAGGCTGAAAACAGAGGGAGTTCCAAGTGTTTAAAATGCCTAGAAGGAGTTAATCAAAATAATTAAAAAAAAAAAAAAAAACACACACACACAAAAAAGCACCAAAAAAAACCCAAACAAACAAACCCACAAAAAACAGCAAAAAGCATTAAGGCTTAATGAAAAAGTTGAAAGTACTGAAAACGAACTGGGCAAGGCCCTGACTTGAAAACAGGAAAACCAATTATTTTTACTTGAGTTTTGAGAAATTTGAACAACGGAGTTTTCAGAAATAAGTATCTGTTTATCAGAAAACCATGTCTGTAGATACTTGCACTACGTGCTTGCTCCATAAACCCCAATCTGTGCGAGCTCCGGGCTCCCACAGCGCCCCGGGCACCGAACACCTTCAGCGACTCGCTCTCCAGAGCGACTTTTCTTTGTTACTCTCAGCGTTGCCCTTTTCCTCCCGGGACGCCAACGCGGGGCGGGTGCCCCGCTGGGCCGGCTGGGCCAGGCGGCGCGGGGGGTCTCGCTCCTCCAGCACGTGGTGGAAGAGGGGAAAATTCCCAGCTGGGAGCCGTCGGCGGGACAAGGACACCTGCCCCTGCCGGGGAAACCTCCTCACCCAGGCCCTGGGAACCCCGCGCCCGGGTAAGGGTCTTTCCCACCCGCCCTCCCGGACCGCACGTCGGGAGCGCTTCTTCCCCCTGGAGGCGGAAGAGGAGCAGCGCGTGCGCCGGGACCACTCCGCCGCCGGGAAGTGCGGCCGCCCGCGCTCGCCGTACAGAGCGGGCCGTACCAAGCCGTGCTTCTCCGGCGGGGGGGGTAGAGGGGAGCCGGGATCGAGAAGTGCCGGAGCGCCGGGACCCGCTGGCTCCATCCCGTCCCGTGACCGGCGGGAAGAGCGCGGCGGGCCCAGCCCGGGGCGGCGGCAGCGGCGCGGAGGGTGAGGCAGCGGCGCGGCGGCCGCAGCTCTGAGTGGGGCCGCGGGCCGCGCCCCGGCCCGGCAGTGGCGGCGCCGGCGGTAGGGGCGGGGCGCGGGCGGCTTTGGGTAATGGCAGCGCTGTGAGGACTGAGCGGGGCAACGACCGCGGCCGAGGGCAGGAGCGAGGGAGGCCGGGCGGGGGCCGCTGACTCGGGCCCCGGGCCGCCAGGTAACGCCCTTGCCCTCCCCGGCCCGGCCCAACCCGACCCGGCTGCGGCGCTGAGGGGAGGGAGCGCGGCGCTAGGGGCGAGGCGGTGGTTCCGACCCCGCCAGGAGTGCGCGGGGGCGATCGGGCCCCGCCGCCCCGGCCGGCCCCGGCCCCGCCGCCCGCCCCGGGCCCGGCCGTGTCTGTGCGGCAGCGCCCGCGCCTGCCCCGGGTCCTGCCCTTGCCCCGCGGGGAGGGCGCGGCGCGGCCTCTCCGACGGGGCCGATCATTATTATCTCCTGGCGGTGTCCTCGCCCGGTTTCGCTTTTGTTTTGGAGGAGGGAGAAGGTGGGGAGCGCATGGCCCGGCCCGGGGAGGGGGGCACGGGGGCGAGGGCAGGCAGAGCCGGTCACCTGTTGGAGGCTAGTGCTCCCGCCCTTGGCTGTGCACCCACCGCTGGCTTGTAATTTATCGAGGTGTTTCAATAGGTTGGAAATTTGGGGAATGCTTTGATTTGGAGGAAACTCGACATTTATTTGTGTGAACGAATGTGTGCCGTACGACAGCGGTATATTTTAAAAGATGAGGCGATAGAAGCAATATCCTTTCATTATCCTCATGTGTAAATATGTTTCAGCGATATCTGCTTACCTTAGGGCTTGTTGAACAGGTATGGTTTCCCATCCCCTGAGTAGTATAAACCCTAGGGTAGATATTCTGCCCTGCCATAACTCTTACCATGGAGGTTTATTTGCATCAGTATAAGACATTCAATATTCTAAGGTGGTGAGCTTGCACACTGCAGACACCAAAGCACAGCAAACCCCAAAAGCCCAGTATCTTACAGAAAAAGTTATACTGCATTTGGTAACGTGTCTATAAAACACATTTAAATTCATATTGATGCAAAAGCTGTAAGAGACTGCAAAACAAGCTCTGTCTTAAACTGTTTAACTCGGGAATACTTTGTTGAACGTGTGAATGCTTTACATGATTTTAGGTTTAGGTGATACTGAACACGGGTTTATTGATTCAGTGTGGTGTACTGTGGGTAGGGCTTTTTCTTCACCCTTCCTTCCTCCCCCAAGTTTTGCTTACCTATGAAGAAAAGGCTCTTTTACCTTGGAGGTACCACGTGTGTTTCCAAGATAGTGACCTATAATGCAATACTCAACTAAGTACAACTTGATTACCACAGGCACTTCTTATGATTGTTAATTTGTGGACCATGATTATTTTTGGGGGGGTCAGATGAAAATACACTTGTGTTTTCCAGAAGAATGGTATTGGAGCTCTTTGAAGACTACCACTTCCTCCTCTCCCCTCTTTTTTCAGTTCTCACTGATTTTCTCTGAAGTAAGCTGCTACTGACATACCGGGATTGAAGTAATAACCATGTTGCAAATATAACAACATTCACAGCAGTTGAGGATCTTGGTTAGTTAGTCAAAGGGGTATTTTGCATGCATGCAGGGTAAAAGTTACGTCTGATTTTATTGTGTTTTTTTCTTAGACTGAGAAGTTCTTTATCCTGCAAGAGCCAGTAGTGATTAAGGTAGTAAGCTGGTTGCTAAATAGTTTTGTAGCATGACATTTGATTGTTTCCCTTACAGAGGTCTGCCTCTGGGGTTCAAAGTCTGCTTGTCACTAGCTTTCTGTTTTCCCTTCTGACCTTGAAAATTTGGGAAGACAAGTGAAGAGCCACTTGTCCATGTATTTAAAATGAAAGGAGAAGTATTCTTTCCACGTTTTATTGTAGTCTTACAATGTGATGTTTCTGAGCAGGAACTAGACTTGCTTTGTGCATGGAATGTCACACATCAGGTCCTTTCTAGATGAGGTACATAGGACAGAGACTAGTAGAAACAAAGAAGAGGCCTTTACAGTTGTCTCTTTTTTTTTAAATCATCTTACTTTTTCCCTGGTTTTGTTTCAATTATTTATTGTTGAGGGTTTCTTTTTCCAGTAAATCTCTTCCAGTATTTTTTTATATGAAATTATTAACACGTCTTTGAAAGATTTCACAATTTGTCCTACTGCATAGTGCAGTAATCTGCACAAGCTCTGCATATTACTCTGTGTTTAGATATGTTGTCTTTTTGCCACCCTGATCAAAGCTTTGAGGTTTTGTGGCTTTTTAAATATAAAACCAAAAATGTCTTATGAAAACCTGAGGTGGACGTAGGCTACAAACTGGCAATGGTAATTTCAGATACTCTGGTAATAGTTCAGTGTGTTCCTGCCCAAAATTTTCTTAGATACAGCTTAACAGGCTTTGCGTAAAATTGAACAAATAATTTACAGGAGAGTTGTTATCTTCATGTGGCACTGTTAGATGGACAGCTTGGTGAGACAATGAACTTCATGAGGCATGATGTTGTTAGATTAATTGGTGTTATGTTGTAGGCTACTCATGCAACATGAATGTTCCATTCCATAACAGTAAAAACAAGAGTTCGTGAGCTTCATTTTGGAGGGTGGGGGAGCAGGGGTGGGTCTGTCATGGTGGTGCAACAGTGTGTAAAGTTTAAATTGAAAAATTTAAAGAAAACGTATATATTTTTTTTTAATGATTGTGCAATGTTGTCTGACAAATTCAATTCTTCTACAGATTAACACTAAAGCCCCACAATGTCCTTGAAACCACGAGTAGTTGACTTTGATGAAACATGGAACAAACTTCTAACGACGATTAAAGCTGTTGTTATGTTGGATTATGTTGAAAGAGCAACGTGGAATGATCGCTTCTCGTATCCTTTAAGTGAAAAATCTGACTTAATGTGTTCATATGATGTATTTAGCCTGTGTTACACAACAATTTCAGTGGTCTTGATCAGAAGCTTGTTGTAAGTCTGTACCTGTTATTAAGCCTGTGGATCAGTGGATATGTTGAAAGGGATGGGAAATTTTGTGTATTTGGGAAATATTCTGTATGAAAGTCACCATATTGACAAAAACTCTGTTTTAGTCACTTTTTAGTAGCTCTATTACCTAGCTTATGCTATAGCTGTTCACAGAAGTGCTGGCATTGAATGTCCGCTATTCTGATAATGAGGTTTCTTATTTGTTTAAATGTGTGTGTGGCAGGGGAAACACCAAGGCCAGAGAATGCACATCTTTAAATTTGGAGTGTCGGGAACGGTGAGGTTTTTCTGTGTAAAGATTTCTTCCTGTCCTTTGCACATCTACCTGTACTGAAGAGCACCATATTAGACATTTCTATAGCAAGGGTTTATTAAAAAGCCTTCCTTTCCCTCCACGGTCATAGCTTCTCTATTCTTTACAGTTAAGCCTTGTTTAAAAATAATTACTCTTTCTGTGATGATATGGTCTTGCTGTTCAAGTCACAGCTGTACATATACTGTTGTAGTGAAAGGTTTGCATAAAATGGACTTGTAATTTTTTACAACGTTTAAGTTGCAGTTAACGTCTTTAAAAGTAAGTGTAACTGTTCTAACCAGTTATACTGTGCTCTGCCTATGTATTCATTAGCCATTACAGTGTGGTGAATAATTAGACAATTTTAGGAGGCTTTGCACCTGTTACGCAAAGTTTGGTTTAATTATAAGGGGGAAGAATGATGTAGACTTCTTTATTGTTGTATTAATTCTTCTGAGAGAAAAAAGAAGCTCCTGAGAAGATTCTTATATGTGGATTTTTACAACACAAGCTTATTCTGTGTGCAGAAGCTTGACTCCGAAGTCTCTTGTTGTGAACATGTTACCCTTTGTCAGAACTGCTTTCCCATGTGCCTGTGTTTTGAGTGTGTGCGTGTGTATACATAAAAGGAAAATTTAGTTGCTCTTAGTTCTTGTGGACCTTTATTGTGGTGCAATAATCTTTAAGGAGCTCTTTCATTTTAAACCTTGGTAATTAATTAATGGGGACATGGCTCGTCACCTTGTCTTGGAGTCAAGTTCAAGTGACTCCAGAATTTTCAGAACTAATTAGTTGTGAGCTTATGTGCTGACAAGTTGAGCTGCAGTCATTCTTTCTTAGCAGTTTTTGAGGATTGAGTATTTCAGTCTTCAACTAGTGGTTAAATTCTGTAGCCTAAAATTCTAAACATTTAAACAAGGGCACCTAAAATAGATTTATATATAAAATAATAATCACTGCATGAGGTGTTGGATTGATTCCTCTTGCCACACTGTTTCGCTTAGAACTTCTTATGTGGAGACCTTGTACTCAAGTCTGCTGTTGATCCTCTTTTGGGATTTACTCCAGTTGATTGAACATCAGAAAAGGAATGCTTATGAATAGCAGACTCAGGAAGCAGTCTTGGAAGAATCATTAGGCATGTAATTCTTAAGACCTTACTTACTATCATCTCTTAATTATGTTCCTTGGAAAGTGGCACTATGAGTGCCTGATTTGGCACAGGTGTGACCCTTCTGACTTTATGGCCGAGTGGTCCAAGGAGTTTTTGTGACTTGTAACTTCCAGCTTGAATGTTGATTGTTTAGAACTTCTGCTTCCTGTAACCAAACTTGGTGTTTTAACACAAACTGCTCCCTGGGTGTTCAACAACTGGGTAAAACTGGTAGTTCCATGCAGCTGGTGTGAAAGCTTTTCTAGGCTTTATATATAAAAGATAACTGAAGTATTGATGATACATTTAAAGTAGATTTGCCATTTAAAAAATATCTCATCTTGTTCTTTGTTAACTGCTTATTCTCAGTTAAATTCAATATAATTGGAGTAATCTGTTTCTATACAATTACAGGTATTTTAAAGGAAATGTATTAACTCTTTTGCTGGTTGCTTAATAAGCACAATAGAAGTGAGACAGATTATTTAAATTGTGTTTTAATGAAACTCAGGTTACTTCACTGATTATGGTGCCAGTTGATCTTTGTGCTGAATAGTTGAAACAGTGATGTGGAAACAAAGGATAAGCTAGAGCAAAGAATCAATTTTCATCTGCAGCACTCTATTCTAGGAAGTGTTTGCTTTCTCTTGTGCTGCTTGAGACAGCTGAGATCAAATTGAGTATGGAGGCTAACAGTATTTGAGGCATGAGAGGCTTGTACTGTGCATATTTGACTTCTAGAACTAATTTTTGCCCCATTAGTTCCCCAGAACTGGTTTTTCTTGAATATAGTGTTTCCTTTGTGACTTATGGTAATTTTATTGTTAAATGTGGCTTATCTTTAAACGAATCTTTTATCTCTAACTTGAAATGCTTGAATGGCAATGAACTGGGAACCACAACTGTGTAAGAGTTAAAATCTTCTGGAAAAGATCACTTGAAAGACAATATGTCACTTTATTTAAACAGTGAGTCATCTTGAGACACCTTTGACCTTCAGATTTCTTTTAAGGTTCTCAGCAGAAAGAATTGTATATGGAGTTGTTTCATTGCCTGTAAAATGAGTGAAAGTTAGGTCTCTATTTGAGATATTATTTGCAATAATTTGGTTACTGTGAATATGTTGTATAACTTTCAAGATTTTGCTGCTAACTCTTCAGTAGACCTGGGAGTGCTCTCTAAGTTTAGAGTCTGCTCAAGCTTGGTTAGAGTGGTAGGTACTTGATTTGTGCTTTGATAACTACATTTTAGCTAGAACTTTTTCAAACAGGCAGAACATCAGGCTCTTCCTGTTGTTGTCTTGGGTTTTCCACCACTAAATAAGTAAGATGGACAGTACCCAGGGAGGATGGTAGCTGTACTGCAACAGAATTATTTTTAAATTATGCAGCATCACCACCTGCTTGTTTGTTTGTTTGTTTGTTTTTTCATTTCTCTGGATGTTTGTTTTCCTTCCTCTTAATTCCCTGTTTCCAAGGATTCTGTGATAAACCAGAAACTTAAACATGTGTCTTTAACAAAACAATCATCCCGAAGAGAAGGAAGAGTAAATAAAGTTCATATGATCACAGTTCTTTCTGACCATGAGTCCTCAAGTCCTCTGTGAATTTTGATTCTGTTACAGAAGAAGACCAACAACTGGAAATTTACCCAGAACTCTGAGTGATCTTCTAGAGACCTATTCAAAACCTTCTGTTAATATAGGGTCTTAGCTAGATGCTTTTTTAGCCCCGAGGACAGTATTTTTGAGCTTTTATGACCATGGATATAGTATTTTCTGGTCAATAGTAATTTTGCTGTTGTTCTTAGTTTGGAAGTGCTTCAGTTTCCCATTGCTGGGTCATGCCCCACCAATAACAACAGCCAAAGCACTTAAATCACACAAGGCTTTTGATGTTCTTGTTCTCAGCACAGAGTGAAGGCCCTTAAGCAGCAGTTTGGCTTCTACTTCCTTTCTCACCCTCCAAAACTACGTGCTGAACTGGAAGGACAGATGGCTTTCACCATTAAAGCTAAATTATTGAACGGTAAAGGCTTCTTCCTGATCTTCCAAGGAACAGCAGCACAGGAAAAATGTGCTTTAAGTTTATGGAGTAAAATGCCAGTGATGATTAATGATTCATCTCCCCTCGGAGGTTATTTTTTTTGTTAAGAGATTCACAACATTTTGAACATGGCACTTAAGTTTGGATTCTGGTCTGAAAGATAGATAAAGGAACTAGTACAAATAGAGCAAGAATGTAGCAAAGCTACTCTGTACTGTGTATTTCGGTCTCACGATAGCTTTTGTAGCAATTCAAAAAAACTTAGTACCCAACAAGTAGCATTTGGTGTTACTTTTTAGTATTTGGTGGATACAGAAAAACGTGTTCAAGTGCTGTGATCAGGCTCATAGTTTGCATACCTGCTGAAATTAAACAGAGTGGCATATGTCAAGGAGGAATAATAGATTCAGCTTTCTTTACTTGCAAAAAAAATTTGTTCTCTAGAATAAGGAAAGATGTGTTTGGAAGATGTACATTTTCATGAAGGAGTACAGATATTATTTTCATACCTAAATAGGTTTATTACAACTAAGAAGGTTGTTTCTCAGGTCATTCATACTCCTAACAGAAGCCTTGGGCACGGGGGCTAGATTAATTCAGAGATATTTGTTTTCTGCTTTCGTCAGATAAACTTCTGTTACTATTTTCTTGTGCTGTTGTGGTGAAGAGTGCATCTTTCCTCTGAATTTGAAGTATGTTGTTTTTTGTAGTAGAGATTGGTCATAGTTTTGGTGATTCAGATAGTGTAGTTGTGGATCTAAAGAGAAAAAAGTCAAGTCCCCTTTGCTTGTGAGTAGCTTACAAAGATTTCTAATTCTGGAGTTTACTTTCTCAAAGGTAGCTTTGCGTAGTGAAGAGGTTTGTGGTCTGAATTGCGTTGAGGATGCACTTGACTGCCAACCATCCTTAGACTGAGAAAATTTCTTGGAGAGGAGAAAGTGTAAAAAACAATTGTTCTTTATAATCTCTTTAAGAAAACATTTCATTCTTCACTAATAATTTAATAGGGTTTTCTATATTTTATTGATCACAGCTTTGTAAGCTGTTGTAGTGCAGTGCTAGTTACTGTTACAAAGCAGTGAATGTTGACTGTTTTGTTTGTTGGGGTTTTCGTTTAATGCTTCTTGCCTTTCCAAGGGGAAATCTGATCAAGATGATCTATATGGATGAAATAACTCTACACAAGATGAGATTCTGATGGGGCTCTCTGAGATTCCAGTTGCCCCATAAAGGCTTTTTTTTCCCAATTAGTTATCTTATATAAGTATCTTCTTTTATACTTATATAAGTATATCAGTATCTTTTATCTAGCTTTTTTGGGTAGTATGTATTTGTTTTGAGTATAATGAAAATGAAACATGCTTCTGGAGAAAGCTATGGGATGAGAGCTTGACACTGTTCTGTAGACTAATCTGTCAACTGTCTTTTACATCTTTTTACAAGGGCATGTGCTTTTTTAGGTAGACTAGAGGAAAGCAGATTTTATGTCTTCCTTTAATTAGTCTTCTAAATCATTATTTCTAGCATGACTAGTTTTATAAAGTGTATCTCTAGTATGGCTGGTGTTACAGTGCCTTGGCTTAGTAGATAAGCATGATATTTTAAACTAATTTTTTAAGAACTGGTTTATTTCCCCACATGAAGCTTGACCTAATCCTTGCTTGACTTTTATGAAAGCAAAGTTCTTAATCATAAATTTTCTTCCTGACAAAGCATCAAGTAACTCTGAAAACTCAATATAAATGTTGCAAACCAAAGGTGTAGCTGTGCAAGGTACTTTAAGGAGAAAATGAACCAAAAGCTTATAAGTGTTATAAGGTTATAAGGTTAGCAAATAGAACTCTTTTGTGTGGCTGTGATCTAAACAGGATTACTGAAATTATAATAATGGTTAAAAATGAAACAGTTTTTTTTAATCCATACCACCACTGTGACTAATTTTCAGTATCCCCTGAAATTGTTCTACCTGTGGAGTTGGGGGCAAAAAGCAGGGACGGTAAATTGTTTTGGACTCCAGCATGGAGAACTTAAAGTCGCTTCACCTGATGTTTACTCTGCTTTGTACTTGCCTAATCACATTCTTGACCTAATTAGGGCTTCTTTCCATTATATGAGAAGAGTCTCAGTTCATGTTGGCTGCAAATAGAGAGGAAGAATTATGCATGAAAGCTGCTTTTTCACTTTGAGATAATTGTATATTATTCGCAGATAGCAAAGAAGTGGTAGAAGCCACATCAGTGTGGGGCTAGCAGAAGTTTCAGGATCTTAGCTCTAACATTCCCTCATCATCCGCTATTTAAAATTTAATATAAATGCTGTAAACTTAGATTCTTCACAAACCAATGCTTACACTAATTTAGAAAATGATCCATTTTATCTTTTTTTGCTTGATTAAAAAACCCACTTAAACTTCTTGTGTGTGAGAAAAAAGGGTTCTGTAAATCATAAATTTTGTTATTATGTTTTCACACTTGCATACAAACCTTGACTTTGAGCCCAGAGACATTTATGCTTTGTGTGTGGCCTATCCCGAACCTCTTGGAGAGAGACTTTATACTGAGACTAAAATTTTTTTGGAAAATCACGTACGCCATTTGCACAAGGTAACAGATACAGTTACTGGTGGGCATGTAGCTGTTGTTTGTTCTTTTTTGACTTCAGGAAGGGGGTTTGTTTGTATGTTTTTATGAGATTAAATCACATGTGACAGAGTTCCAGAGGCACAATACATATATATATGGTGTATGTAACACATATCGCACAACACAATATTATAGATATCTGTTTATGCAACACGAAAGAAAGAATTTTCTTTCTAAGCCAACAGTTACAGTTTATATAATACGTTCAGTGGCTTGAAAAGTTCTTCTTTATTGAATGCTTGTTATCAAGCAGTTTACAGAAATGTCTTAATTTTCCAAATATACTGGAGTTTGTTGTTAGCCTTCTGTTTCAGCAGAAAAGTATCTACTGCAGTGTCTTGGAAACTGTACATGCTCTGCTAGGAAAAAAAACAACCAACTTCCGAAATATGTGGGAAATAATACAAATGCTTGGGAGGGGAAGAACTAATGGCAAATTATTTATTATGACAAATAACAATATTTGTATACCTATATAGTTGTGAGTTAACTTCTGTTTCATCAGCTAAGGCAGAGGATTTCATCAGAATCATGATGAATAGATAGGATGGATGAACAGTGTCTCCTTGTATATCAGTAAAAAGACAAGTAAATTTAAATAAGATGCCTGCCTACCTGCCTGCCTTTAGTGTGTTTAGAGGGGATAGAGCACTGCAGATTCTGGATAGTGCTGCTAAATGGCTCGGTGCTGTTTTTTGAGCTTATGTACCTGAGTATTTGACAAGATGGGCTGGGTGTCTTAGTGGGTGATTCCACTGGTTACTGAGAGGATAATTCTGGCACTTTGCTAGACTAAATCAGCTCACTAAACTAGCAGAGAGCTCTGCCAAAAAAGTTCTCCCTCATTTATTTAGTGAGCTGAATGAGCTCACTTAGGATAATCAGGCAGGTGCCAGCACAGTAGAAGTGGTGGGAAGTAGCAGAAAGCACATCCGTGCTTTTAAATTGGCCATCCAGCACTTGTCTTTGAAATAATGTTGGAAAAGCTTTGCAAAATGCATTCTGCAGCAGAAAGCATTATCAATTCTGTTTTGTCTACCAGCTTTCCTCTTTTACTTTTTTTTACATTTTTTTACATTTTTTGCATAGGCTTCATTGCTGCTTGAGCCAGATTTTAAAATTACAAACTCTAGAGAGAATTACAGTTGAGTTCCTAGGATCATATTCTTCCTCACAAATCATAATAATTAGTTTAAATTTTTTAACTTATTTCCTTGAAGTATGAATATTTTGAGAAGATGAGTACATCAGCAACATTTTAGTTGATGATTACCTTAAATTTTGAAGGACTTGGGCCTAGATTAGTAGAACTTCAAAAGTGTTTTATGTTTGTATGTATCTGTGCTTTGTTAAACTTGCTTTATTGCATGATTCTTGGTAGGTATAGGGGCTTGTCTATCCAGTAAGGCACACTGGTTATTGTTAGGTTATCGTTTAAATAGTTATCGTTAGGCAGTTCCTCCAGTGTGCACGTGGCTGAGTGTATTTAAAACTGGTGTGTTAGTGAGGGAGTAATTATGCAAGTTATCCCACCAGTATGTTGTGAAAAGATGAACCATGCTAATTCAAGCAAGTACTTTTGAAAAGATCAAATAGAAAATCATACAGTAGAGAGAATATTGTTTTTAAATGCAAAATAAAGCAACTCCAGTTGGTGTAGCTGGTTTACCAAAAGTTGGTAGTATGAAGATGTGTTAGTTTTCTGGTCATTGCAACAATGCAACAATTCTGAATATGTGATTGCTATTCCAAAATGACAATCCCATTATAACTTTCTAAGTATGCATGATATTTTCATACTAATTTTAGTGGGGTGTGTGTGCCTTCACAGAGAGTTCTGGAAGCTGAAGAACAAGTACTGGTTATGTATCACAGATACTGGGAAGAGTATAGCAAAGGGGCAGACTATATGGACTGTTTATACAGGTAAGATTTGCAAAAGAGTTATTAAACCTTTGAAATTATTACAGTGATCTGCAGGTTAAGTTGAAGAACGTTGCTTAAAGAGAGCAGTAGATAAATATGCCCCAGGTCAGTTTTGGAGAGAATATAGTTATGGTAGCAGAACATGAGCAAAAGGGAATAATGCCTCAGCAGGTTATCTAAGATGGTTCCTACTCTTTTTTCATTACTAATATATTTACCTGATGTTGCAGTGCCAAATGTGTTGGTGCTAATCAACCCTGCAGTGAATTAGGTCATAATGCTAGTGGTTCTTCTGCAAGGAGGGCATATGTTTTTTTTTTTTTTGAGAGAATGTTTTGGATGAAAGTACTTCTGAAGACCTTAAGATACATTCTGCTTTTTATCAAGTGGTTGGAGTTCTTTTCTGACTTGCATGCCTGCTCTCAAAAAAATACCATAAATTAGTTAACTCTTGTATCCCAGGTTATAATTTGTGTAGTTCTTCCAGCAATGAAAACTGATTGATTTTTTACAGCTAATAATCTTAATGCTATTTAAAAATAGATTCCTTTAGGATTTAAATAGGCTTGCATCTCTGCTTCTAATCTGCTAGGTACTATTTGAAACACTAAAATGTAAGACACTTATGAGCAAAATTCGTAAAATGCAAAGCTAATCATGGGATTGGCAAATGAGACAAATGTTTTCTTTTTTTGGTGTTGATTTTGATATGTGTTTTTTTTTCACCCACCCTCCTGGGTGCATTTTGCTAGGAAAACAAATTCAGATTCAGTTTGAAAACTAAAACCCCACATATGCTTGACTCTAAAATATAGGTGATAAAACTGGTGGAATAAGAAACAGTTGATATTAAAGAACCTTTTTCAGTTGTTTTGGTTAGTTCTGATGATCAGAATAATAGATAAAAACAATGCTGGACATTGGAGCTTATCAGTGTCTTCGTGCTGTTACCATTTTCATAGATACTGGTAAAAAATCTGGTCTGTGTACTTGTATTTCAATTAATTGGAGGGTTTTCTTATCCAGCAAATTGAAATTAAGTGATTTAAAGAAAAAAAAAAAAAAACAGCTACAGAATTTTAAAAATCTGCTTATCATTAAAATCCTGAAAACTAAACACACATAGTGCTGCTTTTGTTTTGTTCCTTCTTGTCTTTTTTTAAAACACTTGTAATAATACCAGCATATCAATGTATAGCAGTTTTTAGTTCTTTATGCTAATCTTGGTTCTCCTTCTGTATGTACTGATGGAGAGAAAGGGTGTGAGTGAGGGGACCACAAACCTTTCCCTTCTAGCAAGTTTAACAAGAAAAAGCAGACTGGCAGCTGTTGGCTTTGTTCACGTGGTGTGGCTGGGAAAAATACCATCAAGGAGCATGCTTGCTTAGGGCTGGTTTTCCAGCTGTTCTGGATGTCCTCACAAGTTGTGTATGAATAGTGGGCCTGTAGCCTTCTGCACAGACCTGCATTTACAGTTTGTGATGGTTATCAGTGATAGCAGAGGGGTTTACAGTTCTCTGTAAGAGTCTAAAAGTAGGTTAGGCCTCTGTATTCCAGTTTGTCATCACTGCCCTGTCACAAGTCTTCCTTCTTTGGACTCTGTGGTGTCCTAAATTCTTTCAAGTTCACAGGTTTTCACAGCATGTTTCTCCTTTTCTCCATTGCTTGGCTTTTGCCTTCCTGCCCAGAGTGTTCAGGCATCACAAGTCTGGGGCAGCCTCTGAACACTGAAGTTTTCACTGTCTGAAACTGGGCATCTCAAAACTGCTGGTTAGATCAGAAGTTAAAAGAAAAAACATTCTCAGTTGCCTCCTTTAAGCACTGACATAAGAAATATTATAAGTGTAGTTATGAAATACATTAGAATTTTTTCCCAGCTATGAGAGAAAGAAAAGGATAATAAAGCAGTTTAAAATATAGTATTTGCTGAGAATCAAGAGGGATGTTTTACCAGGTCTTGCATAGAAACCATTTTATGTTATTTATAAAAGCTATGCACACAATAGTAAATACTGAATACAAAAAAAATAAGCATTTATAACATTTCTTATATAACTGTTAACTAAAACAGTTTCTGCAAATTCTTCTCTATAAAATTTGTAGTTTGTCTGTTTGCTAGTTATCTGACCTGGGTAAGGGATCATAACTGAAAAAATTTCGCCCTCTTAAAATTGACAGTACTTCTGTGTTTCAGTCTGAGAGAAATGCAAAGTAATAAATAACAGAGGTAGAAGAAAATACTTTTAACTTAGAAATATCTAATACTCAGGAGGAGTGTTTTTCATTAACAGTAAATAAACTACTATCACTCTAATAGTCAACTGCTCAGAATTTAGCAGTTATTTTGCATATATATGAATGAGCTAATATGGCAATGCATGTAGATAGGTTGGATTCTTACACAAGTATATTGCTCACCAAGAAAATGCGGACAGTACTGTGCTGTTTTAATATGATGTAAGGTCTTTTAAATCGAGGTAAATTATATTTTAAGCCTTTCCTACAAATGGCACTGGTATTGGTTAAAGAAGGTTATATTTTTTAAAGACATTCCGCAAGAACTTTTGCTTGTTTTGATTAGAATATCTTTATTTCTAAAGGTACCTCAACACACAGTTTATTAAGAAGAACAAATTGACTGAAGCTGATCTTCAGTATGGCTATGGAGGGGTGGATATGAATGAACCTTTGATGGAAATTGGAGAGGTAGGTATCTCTGAAAGTGGGCTGGATACAACCTGTATTCTGAAGTACTATGAGTTCAGCTCTGTCCTTTTACATTTTGACTTCTCTGTGTCACAGAATAGGAATATTGTAGAGTATGTAAGCACTTTGTAAAAGTGCTTTGTAAAATGAGAATACAATTTTGATGTAGATAAATACTGGCAGATGATAAAAGCAAATATGAAAACTATCACATTTTAAAACTGAAATTCTCCAATAACTTGCAAACACACTTTGGATTATTAAGTGACACTTAAGAGAACATTTCAAGGAATATCAAGAAAACATTTCGAGGAAGCAATAATTTTGTTTTTGGGAACCCTTGAAATGCTACTTTTAGGCTTCTATTTCTTTATGACACAAAGTACAAAAGCTTTTTTTTCAGATTAGTCTTCTGCACATTTTTTAATGGGGACCGTTTTGAACTTCAATTGTAGCAACTCAGATTTTTGAAAGAAAAAGTAGATATTCTGTGCACAAAAGTGCCATGTAGGGAGGGCTTATCTTTAAAACAAATAATTTGTGGCAAGCACAAAGGTATTGTCACAGTTGCTAGTGGAGAGGCTAGGAGTAATTTTTAAATACCTGTAAAATAAGAAATCTTACCAGCAGGACTGTAGTAGGACTACATTCTGAGGCTTCACCCCGAGCACTGAAACTATGCAGAAGTAGAGTTTGTGTTGTTTGTCACTTTATGGCTACTCTTACCATGAAGTATAAGAAAATAAAACAAAAAGACAATTTTACAGTTAAGAAAGAAGAAATTCTTTCAAATTCTTTAAGATACAACTCTTCAGTATGTCTTTAAAAATGTTTCAAAAACACCTTTTCAATCTGCATCAATATAAAATCACAGTCCTGAATACAGTTGAGTACTAACTTGTTTTTTGAATGCTTATATGTGTATCTGTTTGCTTTGGGTCTGTATGTACACACGCTGCTAGCTGGAGAATTTATTTTATTCTGTCATTATATGTTTTAGTGTATTGTTTTTTTTCCTTTCCTCTCTACATTTACCTTTTTCTCTATAGCAGGAAGTGAATGCCTCTTCTCTTTTGCTTTGGAAGGCTAGAGAAAATGTTTCTTTTTTGCTTTATGTCGTAACTTGACCTGTCAGTGATGACTGTTCTGGCTCTTTGATTTCATTGCTTTAAGCAGAAGATCTCTGCTGCCTTTAGTTAAGAGTAAGGAGAGATTGTGATGCACGAGGAAGCACCTTCTGTACTTCTGACCCAGCTGATGAAGAGGGCACTGCCAGTTTAAATTGCTGATCCTCTGCCAAGTTGGGGATGGGCTGAAACAAACACCAGAAACATTATATGCTTTAAGTCAAGGCATTTCAGGGAAAGAAATTCTTCTGTCTGTGCTGTCTCCAAGGCTTGCAATCACTACCATCTATAAAGGCTTATCAGAGCTTGGAAGTGCATATTGCTGCACTGTTCATGGTATCTTCAAAATGGCATAAATCTCATTCCTTAGCTCCTCAGACTGAGGTTTAGCACTGTGTGTTCCCACGATTGTCAGAGGTGAACTATAGTCCTGTGTGAATGACTGTTAGTTCAACTGCTTTGGGGGCTGGGAATAGGTCTGGGATTGTTTTTGGATGATGCTGATGTATTAATGAATTCTCCCCATTTGAGTGCTGCTCTTTTCTGAGGTATTGCCCAAAGGATGGTAGTGGCAACTTTTGTCCATAGCTTTCTGCCATAGTTAATGTTTACCAAAGAAGAGCAGACAGCAGACTCGATAAACCTGGCTTTTTTGAGTACTCATTTTTTTTCATCTTTGTGCAATCCTGAGTGGGATGGAAGGGCAGTGACACACACTCTTCTTCAAGCTTCCCAGCCATTGTTCCAAGGAGGATACATTCCTAGCTCATCTTTTGGGCAGGATATGGGGAGGGTCAAGATTCTTAAGATGTAGCTGGCAGCCTTTTGGCTTGTGATCAAGGTGTTCAGATGACAATGTCTGAAATTCTACTAATGAGTTTTTCATTACCTCACTTCCCAAGACTCCTTCCATTTCTCTTTAATAAATACTGTCTTTGTAATGTGCAATAGTGGGAGGTAAATTTTGGGTTTGAGGCTCTAAAATTAATCTATGTTCATGACTGGTATGTCCTGGTTTGTCCTGAAAAACAATGGAGACTTGAGTCCTACACTCTTATATTAAATTGCAGCATTGATTTTGGTGAATTCGTTGCTCCAGTTCACGTTTCTTGACCTACAAGACACTCACCAAGTTTATCAAGTCTTTGGAAAGTATTTTCTCTTTAATGATAGTTCCTGTAGGATTCTATTTTTTATTTTCTTGATTGCACAAGGGACTTTAACATTAAAGTCCAAGTATTTCAGTTGTTTAGAATGCAAGGAATTATCATTTCTCCTGTTTTAGATGACTCAGATGATCTAACCTTTATCTACTCAAGAGCAAACATGTTTATTTTATACATAGTTCTCTTCGGTCTCAGCACCAAGTTACAGAAGTAAAGCCCAGCATTTGTAGAAGAACTGTACTCTATGTACTGAGGTTTCTACCTCAACATCACTCATGTGTGCTAATGAAACTTTGAGAGCTTTTCAGTAACCTCAGACAAGCACGTGCTTGTTTAGTTCTTCTGGGGTGTGTAACAATAGGTACGTACACAAGGCTGGATGTGCGTATGTGAAGTGTATGGGCACGGCTTCCAACAGCTCATCATCCCGATAAGTGTTGCAAACATTCAGTAATTGTTGTCCTGGGAAACATACAGGATGAGATCAGTTGGTGAAAATAGTCTGCCAGTGCTTGCAAGAGGTTGCTTCTTTCCTCTCTTATGTTATGAATGCATGGTAAAGGATACTGCTTTTCTGAGTTGTGCACCTATCACCACTTTCAAATTCCTGAGATTTCAATGACTCCATGGGAGCCCTGAATAGAAGGTAATTAAAATGTGCCTTTGGTTTTTTAATTCCCCTAGAAATAGATTCTGGAAAATGGAGAAAATTGCAACGTTCTGTATTGTCAGTCTAGTTGAAGTAAGATCAGTTCCTCTCTTCAAGGAGGAAAAACTGTCTTGAACTAATATATCAGGTTGCTGGATTGACCAGATTTATATGACTGTAGTTTATTTGACAAGGAAATTCCAGCAGGCAACTTGACAGTGTTGTCTCCCACAGTAACGTGAATCTGCTTCAGATTGGTAGCTCATATGTGAGAAGGACCATGCTAGAGACCACATTTCAGAACAGATCTACCTGAGGTTGTTTCTCTTCACCTCTTAGGCACAGAAGGTGCCACTTCTTTTCCTTTTTCTTCCCCCCCACCTTTTCTCTCTCTTCGGAGCTGGCTTCTTTCAGTGTTCTCTGCTGGATGAGTTCCTATTGTCTTAGGGAAACTTATTGTTCTGCTACTACTCTCTACAATGCAAGACAGTAAAAATCACTCCTAGGACAACTTGGATTTCAAAACATTATCTTTTGATATGTAAGCAATTTTTTATCTCTTCTTTAACCTGTTTATGATGCAGTTGGGTCAGGTTTATCTTCTGTACCCTGTTTTTCAGCATGAGTTCTGAATAGCTGGTCAGAACAAGTTAGTCTGCTATTAAAAGGAAGATTATTTCACAGAGTGGATAAGATTGGATACCTACTCAATATCTATGTACCTGCTTCCAGTTAAGACATACCTGATCAATATTTTAATTTTTAAAGCTAATGAATGACCTGCTGTGTCAAAGCCTTCTTAGCAGCAATATTCTCTCTCCTCACTCAGGTTTGCAGTTTATTTTTTTCCAGTCTACTACTCACTAATAGGTGTTTCTGGAGGTCTTTTATTTGTGATTATTACCTATATATGAGGGACATTCCCTTTTGTCAGCTGAGGCTTATTTTGCAGTCATTGTTCGAAATACTGTGATTTGTGCACATTCAAATGCTGCAGGTGGAAAGGTGTGTTATTTACCTACTACTGTGCAGATGTTTTGTTTATAAGTACGCTCAAAATCTGCCCTTGTAACCAACTTGCTTAGGGTCCTTATATCCATTTGAGAACACTTGATGGAGTGGAACCAAGGAATGAATCAGTTCTATCAGCTGTGCAGGAGGAGTGCAGGCTAGGAAGGATGCATTTAGATACTGCCTGACTAGAAATTCTGTGTCTGACACTACTTGTGTTCAGATCTGTGTGATCTTCATCCAAGTGCAGTCAGATGTTCTGGGAGAAAAATGTGAAAATAATGTATTAATATATTGAGGAAAGGCAGGGTAGAGGGGGTTGGGGAGGGGAGAATGACAAAAGAATTAAAAAAGGAGACAGGTTATCTAAAAATTTAATTTTTAACATCCTGAATGGGAAACGGTGTCATCTGGTATTGTTCTGGGTTTCACTGGGTTTTTTTTTTTTTGGTTGGTTGGTTGGTTTTGTACTTTTATTGATGTAATCTTGTGTTGTGTCCTGACAGCTAGCTCTTGATATGTGGAGAAAATTAATGATTGAGCCACTGCAGGCCATCCTTATTCGGATGCTCCTCCGAGAAATAAAAAAGTGAGTGCTTGATTGTTTTTTGTATTAACACAGTGTGGGTGAGGGGTATTGCACTGTTTTTACTTTGAAAAGTCTGTGGATTTTGGGCGGATTCCTTTATGTTTTGTTTTGTTAAGGTAACTTCTTACCTGATGATGATGATGGTCTTTCGGCTTTTCTCATTGTAGCTACGTATTTGTGGCTTGCACGTGTAGAAAAAGGCTCTGAAAAGAAAATATTCCACTCCCTGTAACCTCGGGCTAGTGATCATCTCAGCTTTGGCAATCCTTCTTATCAGTGGGATTGGGGAGGAGTTAGAGTAATTCTCCAGATCCCAGAGGATGCCTCTTGCCTTTTTCACTGCCTGATGCTGACTGCTTATGGCATCTGTGCTGTCAGGAAACTTAAGGGCCAGGCCTGGGCAAAGATTTGCCAAAGCCAGAGAAGCTGTTTCTTTGCATGGGCTCCAGAACAATTCTTGCTTATCTGCCAAGAAGACTAAGTTCTAGGTTTCTGTTGTTCAGATGAGTGCCTACACTTAACAGTTCTGCTGCTTTACTTGAATGAAATGGAAATAATTATTTGTTTGCACTTTGAGGGGAAATTATTATTTTATTTCTGAATATTTTTTTTTTTAACTTCTAGACAAGGACCCGGGTAGCTACATGACTTGGGACTTTTAAAGTTTTGATTTAAAACTTCTGCTTAACTACTAAAGGACCCTTTTATTTATGCAGAAACAGAAATGTTGATAATTACTGCAGATCTTGTTTGTAGTTGTAAGTTCAATCAGTTTCTACAGTTCTACTGCAATTTAGGGTATCTCTGGAGTTACTGATGACTGGGGGTTTTTTAAGTGATTACTCAGGTGACCAGGCTAGTGTAGGTAAACTGAGAGACTGAGGTAGTTTGACTGGTTGAGGTTCCTTTGACATGCATTTGATCAGATAAAAACTATTTATAAGGCATTAAAAACCTAATTGTAATATTTTATTTTTATTTTTTATTCCAAAATAATGTCTGTCTTGGATGGCATTTCTGAGGCCAGGAAGTATTTATTTGCTTTCAGTTGTTGAACTGTAGTTCTTTTGTAACCAGGGCTGATACTGCTTTATCCATGATATTTATACTGTAATAGTTTATTTTTACTAATGGAGGATTCCCTAATTCATTGCGAAGAAAATTCTCCTCTGTTACATCAGGCACAGGGATGCTGAAGACTTATTTTAGTTAATGTGTGTATTTCACTGGTGGGTGGGAGTGGAAATCTGTGTAAAAACCTTTCTCAGCAGATATCTGATGCCTCTTAAGAGTAATGGTTTGTATTTACCTTGAGGCTGACTGCAGACCTCACAAGGGTGTTTAGATCAAGGCTGTCGCTGGCTTTGGAGGAGGCTTGAAACTAACAACTTGACATTATTTGTTAATAAACTATTTGGAAAGTTTTAAATAAAACTCGAGTCATTGTTTCTGATTGGATCTGGATTTTCCCCCCTTCTTCATTAAGGATTCTTTTGTGCGATCTCAAAGAAGTTAATGCAATTCTGCTTCTCCAAATATGCATTTAACTATTCATACTAAGTTTCTTTTAGCCACTTTGTGAACTGCATATCATTTAATGAATTATATGAGAGAGAATTACTTGTAGCTTTTCTTCCTGCTATCATGAAATTTAGGGTTTGCTGTGGGAATTCTGAGGACACCCTTTGCATGTAACTATGTAGGCTGGTTGCTGTTCTTTGCTGTGATTTTAGTGGTCAATACAGTTTTTAAAAGGCAGTTTTAAAGACACTACTGCAAATAACTGTTAAATGTCTTCTAGCATTGAGTTCAGGAGTTCAGGGATTAAACTAGGTCTTTGGAGAAATATCCATAAGTTACATCTGTCAGAGATGCAAGAATATGCATGGGAATAATATTACCTAAACATTTTAATAAAATTACTAATACATGTATGTGCTTAAAACCTCTGTAATATACCTTCTTAGTAGTACTTGTGTGTGCATGGTTCTATTTATTACAACACCTCTAAGAAACTAAAGTTTATGTAGATGGGACAGTTGAACTTTTCTAGCGAGAAGATTTTGCTGAGCATATGATGACATGTGGAGTTGATAACCAACACTGTATTCAACTGGCTGCATATAAAAGTATGTTTATTACTGTACTGGAAAAGGTAGGGGAGCAGAGCCACAAATTTTTCTTTCAAGTGTATTTACCTGAAATAAGTGTATTTATCTGGAATTTTAAAAAGACTTGTGACTAAAATATTGAGCGCATCAACTTTTTTAGAAGCTATAAGATTGTGCAATACAGTACACATTAAAATTAACAATAAAGTTCTTTTGGTACATGAGAATAAAGAAATACAAGTAGTGACTTGTGGTTCAGCTAAACAGGATAGCTAAACTGATCTAAGAGTTTACTGATGCCAAAAAAGAGCAGGCTGTGCTCTACTACCTTTCGTGTGCTGAATTTGGAGCTCATCTAGTCCCTTAGTGAACCAGCTCAACTGCTAATACGACAGAAAACCATCTCAGCTGTTATTTCTTCAGGTTGGCACAATGAGTCAATTCAACAAAAAATTAGATGAGTACCAAAGCAATGCAAGAGAAATAGAGACATCCTTGACTGAGCAAAAGGGAGCAGGGTTAGCCCCCTTGAATGGCAGAGAATTCTTAAATCATGTAAGCCTGTCTTGTCTGACTGCACTAGTTAATACAGAGTTCTGAATATAACACACTTTCTCCCCCCTCCCTCTAGCCCAAGCACTGCTCCTACAAGGCAAGCTGAATATCAACTTAAGCATTTTTGTTCCAACACAACAGGAAGCCGACAAGATCTTGAATTGTGAGAAAATTCATCTATGAAATTCTTAAGCAGAAATAATTTGGAAATTATGCAGGTGCTATCTCAAATGACAGTGTGATTAGTACAGACTAACCAGGAGAGGCTTGTCTGCTAAAGATAACTAACACTTTCTAACTAACTGGACCTATTCCTGTCTAAGATGATACATTATTTATGCCATTTGTTTGAAATTAAAGCTTTTGGAAGTTATCTTTTTAAAAAGATATTCAGAAGAGGCTCTTCTAATTGACAGTGAATTATGTAGTTTATTGGCCTCAAAAGACCTTTGGTTTGATAGAGCAGAGCAGTTCTTTTTGAATGTTGGAATCTTCTTTTAATGAATCCAATATTTATTACTGTACCTTCAATTTCAAAAATGTTCTTTGGGATTGTAGTAGTAGTGCACTGTACAATACATATTGGGCTTCCACTGTTAGTTTAGTGTTAAGACAGGAACAATATAGAATTAATATTAGCCAGCACGACTTCCTTGAGCTTGTGTTTTGTAGCTTTCTCCATTTCTTTTGAAAAAAGAAACTTGTCATCACCTGAATTAGTGGAACTTGTGTGTCTAGCACTTTATGTTTTTATCCATGTTCCTCACCAGACATCATCATTCCCTGGTATCCTCCCAGATATCCTGTGACATCCCTGCTTTAAACTGTGCAGCAGCTGCTATGTAGCTCTAAGCATCCCTATTGCTTGCCTGCTACTGCCAAGAAGGAAGATGTACATTTGATAGACTTCTACTTTGGTGGGGTCACCATTTTCATTTTAGTTTGGTAGTTGCTCTTACTACTACAACTTTCATGAAAGTCATCCTTGAAACTTCTCAAATTTTCTTGAAACTAGTCATTTGCATTACAAATTCCTGGGAACAGAGTGCCATGGTGTAAATAAAAACCTGAAGCTGCTGCCAGAGCAGGCACAGCCTGTTCCATGCTACACTTGTTTTCATTTATCACCTTCCTGCAATCTGACCTCTGCTTCGAAAGCTTGTTTCCTCCCTTCCAGCTCTTGTGTGGAGTGTGTCTCCTCTACTTTTACAGCTTTTTCCTAATGATATGTTGTCCTTCAAATCCCTTGGATCTGACCACTGCTGTCCCCTCCCCTCTCACAGCTGCCTGGGCTAACATCTGAAGTGGCCTGTGAGCTGAGCAGGAGGGAGCTGGAACTGGAGCTGTTGTTGCAGTAATGCTTCCTATGTTTGCGTCACCAGTACCTTTCCAGGTCCAGAACCCTGCATGTTAGAGCTGGGCTGTACTGTCTCTTGCCAGAGCCCTGCTTTGGAATATGCTAAACTCTTAGTTCTGTGGCTTCTTTCACTCTATGACATAGCACTGTGTTCACAGGCTGCATGCATCCTGCAGCTTTGCATGTTCCTGGACCCCTCCAGGCTGGAGTTACATCCAGGCCCAGTGCAGGTGTTTCACTTTTCCCTTCTATGATTCTGTGCTGCTGCCTCCGCCATCGTAAACCAGACCCTGCAGAGGGATGTTGGCAAGGATGCAGGGCGTGATTACATGTACCTAAATTCGGATTTGTTCTATTGGTTCAGCTACCACAACCAGAGGAAATCTTGCTGTTCCCTGGGTGGAAAAATCAGACCATCCCTGATGGAACCAGTTAGTTCAGTTCACTTACAATGAGTGATGAAGCTGCATAAACCATACTGTCACTGCTCATAATCTGTTAGAGAGCTACTTCTTTACACCCATCACGGGCCTAAGTTTTCAGATCCTAGAAAACAGTGGTGTTTGAAAGCAATTCCCATAATTAACAGTGTTGTGAATGAATGAAGATGGTCTGGTGTGTATAGTAAGGTGACTGCTTGTGCGACTGTCCTGGTAAACCTCTCCAGCTCATGGGCATCCTCAGTAATTTTGTCAATTACAAACCAAAACAAATGACATGAGCAAAATTACTGCTCCCCCACACCACCCCAGCCAAGATGGGTATATGGTAATGTTTGGGTTTGAAGTGCATTTTTGTTGGGTTTACCTTTTTTTTTTTTTTAATCTGTCATGTAAATTATTCTCCTATACCAACGAAAGTTTCTAAAGAGAACTCATTTTGTCTTTCTAGTGCAGTCTAGGTAAAGTAGAAGTTCTTATTCTATATACATGCATATATGTGTACTTCAATATTTAAAAAGAAAAACCTTTGAAATTACAAGTGCTTATAGTTAAGTGTAAATATGCTTTCGTAAATCATATTTTAATTCTACTTAACACCTTAGGAGTTAGGGAATATTTTTTTACTTTGTTGCAAAGTGCATATGAGAAGTGGTCTTTTTTTTTAGAACTTTTCATGTCTTAAGAGGGAGTCGCCTCTGTTTTGAGTGTGGGTCTGTTATTTCCAGTTTTGCAAAGGACTGAGCAGTAATGTTCTTAGCATGCAAAACACTTACTGTAATTACTTTTGTTTTCAACTGAATGGAACTAAAGATAACATTTTCTTCAACTCCCTAATTTGAAGCTAAGAAATTGACTGGAAAACATAAGGTTTTCCTTTTCTGATGTATAATTAAATATTGTGACAATGTGCCTGGTGTGTTATTTGTTCCACTTGAAATCTACATGTTAGATAGTAGATACTCAGAAAGAAAATAGCATGCTTCTTGCTGTGGTGCTAGTAAAAACTATGGATTTTTTTGGCAGGGCAGGAGTGTGAAGGTAGTCTATGTAATAAAGGCTACATATTTAAGATGGCACTTCCTGTGTCTTTTAAACTACTTGGTTTGAATATGCAATTTGGAATACTTATATCCTTAGCAAACACTTGGAAATTTCATGACCTGTAAATGCTTTTGAATAGTTTATGAATTACTATCTCAACAATTTAAACATATGTGAGAGAAAGAAGAGTGCATTTTTTATTGTAAGATAAGTCTTCTTCAATTTTGCCAATTTAAGCAGAGGAGTTTACAGGAAAATGTTTTCATCCAATTTTATTTCATTCAGCTGTCAGAAGAGTTACACCAGATACCTGCATTTTCATAAATGTTTACTTTGCCTATTTCAGTGATCGCTGTGGAGAAGACCCAAACCAGAAAGTAATCCATGGGGTTATTAACTCCTTTGTTCATGTTGAACAGTATAAGAAAAAATTCCCCCTAAAGGTAGATACATATTTCTGATTCTGTGTTTTTAATTTTGAATGTTAATCTAGTATATGCATTATTTGTCTTTTAAAAAACAATTCTCCCTTCTAGTTTTATCAGGAAATTTTTGAGTGTCCTTTTCTGAATGAAACAGGGGAGTATTATAAACAAGAAGCTTCAAATTTATTGCAAGAGTCTAATTGCTCACAGTACATGGAGAAGGTAAGAGATTCTTTGGTACACATACAATACCTAAAATCTATTATTATTTTACTGATTTACTCATTTTTACATGTTTTCCTCTACAGTTATAGTTATTCTTTGTTATGCTTTCATGCAATACGTTTTGGTGACATGGTTAATCTGAACATAATCTACAAATCTGAACATAATCTACAAACCTTGCTGGGCATGGATGGTTGGCATCAAAATATATCATAATAAATAATAAATTAGCGGCATGTAAAGTAAAAAAAAAAAGTTGATCTGTATTACTTCCTCACTTCCTTGTTTTCTTTCAGTTTGGAGTAGCATAAAATGGGAGTTTTTGCATCATAGTGGTTAAAGACTTTAAGCTGTTACGGAGCATTATTAAAAATTACATACTCTGAGATGGATTTGCTTTTGTTTTGCTTTGTGGTATATAAAGTCAAGTAATTGAACTTGTAATTCTTATACCTCGTTTGAGAAAACAAAGATTAGAAAACAAAGATTAATATAAGACTAGGAGTCAGTCCTTGGTGCTATAATGTCCACACTACCAATATAGAAAAGTTAAGGAGAAGGCTGTGAAATTGCTTTTAACTACAAGAAGCATAAGCTAATGGTTGCACACCTGTGGTGAAATTTAGGGACAGGCTAATATTTAAACTAAACCAAAAGCAATGTAGATTAATTTTGCCTGTTGTTAACAGTCTGCAACTGCACTACTCTCCCTAGACTCTCCTCACATTCACAGGATGTAAGTGCTTTTATGTCAGCATTCATATGACTTATTTTATGATGCCTATTTCCTTCCTGTACCTATTGAGCAGATGTTTTATGTTCAAGCAGATGGATTTGGAGCACTAAAGTGATTCTTATAGTCTCTTATAGTAGATATTCTGGTAAAAAAAATTTCTGCTCCAGAAAGAGCAAGAAGTGTGGTAAGAGTAATTGGGGAAAACTGATCACAAAGCTGAAGGGAAAAAGAAGTTTTAAGAACTAGTGAAAGCTGCTAGTCAGTATTCAGAGCAGATGGTATTATTTCAGCAATAGCCTAATTCAAAAGAGCAAATTTAGTTTTTTGACATCCTGCACAAGTTCTTTTGTAATTTTTACTTATTCTTGTGTCTCATTTTACATACGTATACTGCTGTATATTCTGGTTCTATATTGGTTGTTAGTATTTCTTCAGCTCTCAGTTTAAACACTTGTCTGCAGGTTTTAGGTAGATTAAAAGATGAAGAAATGCGGTGTCGGAAATACTTGCATCCCAGCTCATATGTCAAAGTGATTCATGAATGCCAACAGAGGATGGTAGCTGATCACTTGCAGTTTCTACATGCAGAATGTCACAATATTATCAGACAAGAGAAAAGAAGTGGTAAGTCTGTGGTCACAAAAAACATGAAATGGTTTTTGTTTTATTCATTTAGCATTGGGATTTCCTGTCTTCAATGGCCTTCTGTGCACTTAAGTACTTTCAGCTAACATTACTTAACTAGAAATCCCAATTCAACCCTGAATGATGTTTTTCTTTTACCATGTAATTAATTTTCATTCTTCCAAATATATAGTCAAAACCTTTTTTCTGCTGTTAACAACCCTACTTTTGGCCAGTGCTCTATCTCTTTCCTTGTCTTAGCTTAAAAACACACAGAAGTCCTGTGTCCTGTAGAATTGATTGTATTTTATGCTTGTGTTTTCATTTGTCCTGAATCTTTTGTGATCTCTTGTCCCAAATCCTTTTTAAAGAAGATGTTCTTATAATTAGATTCCCTACCTGACCAAAAAAAAGGCTTCCTGATGACTACATGCTTCTTACCCTTGAAAGAATGCTTATTCTTGCATGGAAGATGGTATCTATTATGTGAAACAAATTATTTTTTCACAGCCAAACTCAAATTGTATCTAATAATAGTGTTCAGTTTCCAAGGAGTTTTCCAAGTTTGATCAGAGCTTGGATCTGTTTTTTATCAGCAGGGAGGGGGAATAAAAAAAAAATCATAAAATAGCAGTTGCTTATTTTCTAATCTGAGAAAAATTTCAAGCCACCACTGGCATAGTATTTGTCCATACTAGCCCACCTCTCTTTTTGGAATCTCTCCTAAAGAAGCGGTTTTGGAAGAGTGAGTTAGTCACAGTGGCAGGACTCAGTAAATACTGATATTAGCACTACTCTTTCCTCTTTTTATTTTGTCAGTGATCTGGTGAATGTTAATTTTTTTTTTTCAAAACAGTTTTGTTTCAGGTTTTAGGCAGTTCTGTGTGAAATTATGATACTATATTGTGTCAATTTTTAGTGTTTCTAACCATGTTCTATAAAATGTATCTCTGTTACAGACATGGCAAATATGTATACTCTGCTTCGTGCTGTGTCAAGTGGTTTACCTCATATGATTCAGGAACTACAAAACCATATCCATGATGAGGGCCTTAGAGCAACCAGCAATCTTTCTCAGGAAAATGTGAGTTTCCTCAGGCAGCTGATTTGATTAACAGTCTTGATGAATTGTTTGCTCTTTTCCTGTTAGTCTATTCTGTTTGGTTTTTTTTTTAAATTTTGTCGGTATGAAATTAGTTTGGAACATGATGGATAAATTGTAAGCTCTGATCAGCACAGTTAGCTGTGTGACACATATCTATCCTGGGAGTTGATTGTTGTGATCTAACCAGAAACAACTGCAGCTAGATATTTCTCATTGTTGCTTGTTAAATGCTGTCAGGGCATAGGTCCTTTTGTTCTACGTATGTATTTTTTTCCTGAGTTTCTCTGAAGTCAGTGGCATTTGCTATTCTGGTATATTAGGAACCAGTGATTCCTTTTAATTTAATTATATGTTATTTGTAAAGACTTGACATCCTGCCCTGATTTCAGTGTGATGCTTTTCACTAATAGCTTTGTAGTCTCATATTTTTATGTAATTTCTGAACATACTCTGGCTTAATTATTTTACTAAATTATGTTAAGCTTTTTTCAGTTCACATATATTTAAATTACTCAGTTCCTATTTTGTTCCTCTTGCATTGCTGTTCAGACACAAACAGCAAGTGTTCATTTGACATTATATTTGTACCTGTGTGTACATCTTACTGTCTAGATGTGTGCTCACTTCAGGACAGTGACTTCAGCCATCCAATGTTTGTGTCTATAATAACACATAAATAAAAGCTGTTACAAATTCACTAATTCACTGACTGCACAGGAGTGCTTACTCTTCTGTGACTCCTGTGTGCATATACAGAAAATGAACTGAAGTCTTTACTAGTATATTTTGCTTTCATATTATTTGTAGGCTTATTGAGCTTATTCTTTCAAATTTATAGTGTCTGCACAGGGAAATAAATACAGAGCCATGAGGGTGATGACAATTCACAACCTTAGATAATTTCCAAGTGTCTCTCTAGGGGCTCCTCCTGCTCCTGTCAGTCCTCTCTATACAGAATGTGATGCACGAAATTCAGTAGGAAAATGCAAAAGGATCATCCAGTTTTTGTGTCTCTGAAGTCGGTGTGTAGGAGAAGCAGCTGTTTATTTACTTGAGTCGCATTTTGACTTGATTGCTGTATTTATGTGTTAGCATTAATGATTTTTGGAAAGGCTAATAAAGGACTTTAGGGTATGATGGGAAAAATTAGATAGCATGAGAGCAATATAGACCCAAATCTTTGTTGGATTGAAGGACTGTAAAATGTAGCCTAGTCTTTTTATTTCCAAAACATTCTCTAGGACAGTTGCGGGAGAGTACAACAATGCAGAACCAATCCTCTCAATGACTTAATCACTGTGGTATTAACTTTTTTATAAAAGAGTTATTAGGAAAAGTTCTACAACTAATGTAGATATGTTTATGTGTAGATAATACTACTTTTCTCATTAACTTACTGTCTGTTTTGTTTACCTCCTTTAGATGCCAACTCAGTTTGTGGAGTCAGTTTTGGAAGTACATAGTAAATTTGTTCTACTCATCAACACTGTTTTGAATGGTGATCAACACTTCATGAGTGCCCTTGACAAGGTAACTTTTACTTCAGTAAACAAGGGATTGGAAAACAAAATCTGGGACCCTGTTTCAGCCTCACCAGAATTCTTCAGAGCATCAACACGTTCAAAAAGCTAGTTTTTCTAGCTTAGAAATGCAATAGAACAAAAGACAAGCCAGTGTTAGGGGGAAAGATATGTACAGAGAAAACTGCTTTAATACTTCAGTGTTCATAAAGAAAGGCCTTTCTTTCCATCACATTTCATAACACAAAAAGGGTGCTGGCACATTTAGTGTAAATGTAAGTGCAGATAATAGACAACTTGTGGGGTTTGGGAGGTTTGGTAATTCTTAAATGCATTTGAACTTGAATTTGCTTCCTGACACAATGTTGTTCTCAGTACTACTTATATAGTAGCTTTGTAGTCAACTTGAAAAATCTAAACAAAGAGTATCTGAAAATTCACAGTACTACAATCACTGTCACAATAGGTAACTTTTTGCAGGAGAGACCTGCAGTTGAAGTTAAATAATAAATGTAGGGAAAGAGGCTTGCTGCTCTTATTTTAACATAAGGGTTCTAATTGATATAAAGTTTAGTAATAATATTGATTGCAACTATTAATTAGAAGTATCTTTCCTCTCTATAATTTCCTGTCATGAGATGTAGACATATGGTTCATTGCTCTTTGGTGGTATTTATTGTAATTGCAGTTTGTAATTAGGGTCATAGTCTAAACTTTAAGTTTCAGCCAAAGTTAGTCTGAAAAGGCACAGTGAAGAAAGTACCAATAATAGCACCAATAGTAGTTACCCATCTGTATTTGTGATATAGGGAAAATAATTATTTAGCATTCAGTACGAAACACATCTGTCTCCATTGCAGTTAATGTCGTGTACCAGAAGGTGGAGTAATACAAGATTGACAACTACCTTTGGCTTATAGCATGATAGGTTTTGTTAAATACATTGCTTGTTCAGTGATCATTCTTACAATAAATGTTTAAAATATTAATCTACTGTTAATTTTTCATGGTAGATATCAAAACTACTGTTGCTGCCTCCAGTTTTATTGCAAAAATGTGTTCCGAGCTTCAAAGTTTCCTACTTCAAGTCATGCATTCCTTTCTCACATGGATTCTAGAGACCTATTACCAAGTTTTGCAATGCTGACATACTGTACAAAAGATTTGGTTGTCAGTTCATCTTGATAATAATATCAACCTTTTCCTTCCATAGAGGAACTGTAATTCCTAGGAACTGTGGTCACGCAGTGTTTTTGGTTCAGTGTTAGTTTAAAACGCTAATTTAAATGTGATGTAATAGTTTATAAAGTTGATTATTCTAACATCTTTTTTTCAATTCTAAACTGATATTATCTCTTTTCTTTTTATCATATTCAGGTTTTCTTTAGCCACCATATTGTTTGTACTGCACTGCTTCAAATTTTGACAATATTTTCTTCCTCTTTAGTTTATCAAAAAATCCAACAACCAGAAGAACTTGTAGTTTTTACTGTTATGAGCACACTATATATGCTTTTCAGCTCAAGATACATGCTGTCAATATAATCTACTGTTGATGTGCTGCTGCTCAAATCTACTTTATCTGCAATTATTCCTAAGTCTCTTTCCATCCATACTTTTGGACCATAATATTGCTGTATTCAAAAATCTTCATACTTCTGCAAAGTTTCTAATCAGAACTTAATGTGTTCTCCCATTTACTCTAATTAGCTTCTGTTCCTCTACTCTTTCCACTTTTACTTAACTCTCAACTTAAACATATGTAACAGCCTAATTCTTCCAGGGCAGTAATTGAAACTTTTTTATTCGTTGTTTCTTTTTTGATCCCCTTTTGTGTAGTTCAGTTTTATAGTGTCTCAGATGGTCTTTGCCTTGAGCATTTTTTTTTTATTTCTTCAAATCTCATAAAAGAAAAAGGTATAAGTTATTTACAATTTTTCTCTTTGCTCTATGTCCTTATGTAGGCTTTGACATCAGTAGTTAACTATAGGGAGCCCAAGTCGATCTGCAAAGCACCTGAGTTGGTAAGTGATACAAGTAGAAAGTAATAATTCTTGTTTATAACTGTCAAATGAATTGGCATCACATGAATATCCAGTTTGTCACTGGGTCACCTTCAGGTGTGTATTTCAGTAGTAACAGCTTAACTTAAACACATGTTTTGTGGATGTGCAAAGTTGCTATGGTTCTATTTTTGGATATAGACTATTTTCTGTGGATGTAGAATGTACAATTTAGCCATGAATACAGCCTTGTAATAGAATGGGAGACCGTAAACTGTGACTTATTTCATGTTTGAACTTTGTGTAGAAGTTTGGAATACCTTGGCATAAATTTGTTCTCAAGCTTGGCAGGTAGATCTGGGTTTGATTTTTCTTTTTCTAATTTGAGCTGGCCAAGTACTGTGACAACTTGTTGAAGAAATCAGCGAAAGGAATGACAGAGAATGAAGTAGAAGACAAACTTACAAGTTTCATTACTGTTTTCAAATACATTGATGACAAAGATGTATTCCAAAAGGTAACTTTTTATATTCAGTAAAGGTTAAAATATTACATTTAAAACATACTTGAAGGATGTGGTTATGCTTCTTAAAATCCTCATACCCGTTTGTTTTTTTTTTCAATGCAGTTCTATGCCAGAATGCTGGCAAAAAGATTAATTCATGGTTTGTCTATGTCTATGGATTCTGAAGAAGCCATGATAAATAAACTAAAGGTAATGTAATATTCTTCTAACACAGAATAAACAAAGGAATATGTAGTGTTGAGAGGGAGCAGCAGAGGGTGCCAGAGGTAACTTAGCAGTCACCAACTCTGTTTCCAATAGCTGAAAGGAAAAACTAGGTTTTTGGTATTTTTGAAAGATATATGGCTAAGTATCATCTAGGCATTTGAGATTTTTATAAGGTTTTGGGTACTTTTATCAGATGGATTCAAGTGATTCATATTAACATTTTAAAAGTACCGAGGACTTTCATAGACCATGTGTGTCTTTCAATTTTATAGGATAACATTGTGCATAGAGTGAAATTAAGATAAATCTGGTGATTTCATTTTAGAATGTTTGTTTTCTATTGTAACTACTGTTTTCTGTAAATGTAACACTTCTGACTAGATTTTCATATTGTAGTAGTGAGTGGGCATAATTTATACCATAAGGACTGTTTTCACTGTGAATCCTCTTACAACATTTCTTCACAGCAAGCCTGTGGTTATGAATTTACCAGCAAGCTCCATCGAATGTATACGGACATGAGTGTTAGTGCTGATCTCAACAATAAATTCAACAACTTTATCAAAAACCAGGACACCATTATAGATTTGGGAATTAGCTTTCAGATATATGTTCTACAGGTACTAATGTATGTTTATTACTACTGAGTTACTTGTGCTTATTTTGTATGTTTTGATAACAAATGAACAATTTTTCTAACTATAACTGCTTCTTTTTGTGGAAACTGATGCTTTGTGATTATTGTAATTTATTTTCCTAGTGTTGCCTTTTAAAATTAACCCAGTAGCTCACTAAAAACTAGTGATATAAAATGTCTTGTGCTCTTGACTTCAATTAATGCCTTGCTGGGGTGTGCATAAGGAGCAGTAAAAAATGAGCAGTAAAACTTCTAGGGTCAATTTATTGTCTTATGACATAATGCACACTACAGATCTGTTTAAGAGTGTTACTTTTTTCTTTATGTCCGAAAATGTTAATGCTTTTATTTTTTCCCAATACTTCCAGGCTGGTGCATGGCCTCTAACTCAGGCTCCTTCTTCTACATTTGCAATTCCTCAGGAACTGGAAAAAAGTGTACAGATGGTAGGTTAGTAGGAGGCTTCTTGTAAACATGTGGAAAATATAAAATAACTCCAAATAAAAGATCAGAGAAAAACCTGAGCTGCTTCGTTTTATTTGGAAATCGTGGATATCCTGTTTTCAGTCTATAGGAAATATGTAAGGGTCACCCAGACACCTTTCTGAATTCCTGTATTTGCATAGCTTTTCTTTATTTTTAACATCTCTCTTCTACATTTTGTGATTGCTAAGGGAGATGTTAATAAATACAATTAAACCAATTGGTTCTTTCTTTAAAACCAATTCCTAATATTTAAAGAAAAGAAGATTCTGTTTCTAATATTAAGTATGAAAGATATAATACCAGATTAAGACACAAATACAGGGGTTTTGTCCTGTATATCATGGGAGTTATTCAAAATAAAGCTTTGTGCAAACTTCTTTAGGGCTAATTTTATGATTTCTCGAAGCACTAAAGGTTTTACTTTGACCAAATATTCTTTTCTTACGTGATTATTTCTGCTTTGTTGAGGTGAAGTGTTTTGTTATTTTTGATTATATTATTGTGTTCTAAATGTTACGTGTACAGTGTGTGTTGAACTTTTTTTAAAGTGTATTTACTGGTGAAGTACAGTTTACACAATAAAAATTTTGTATTATTGGACATAACAGATTTTTAAAAAGCAGGTTTTATACCTTAAGTTACTATGTGATGTAAATTATGATGGCAAATGTCTGTTTCTGTGATGAGGAACCTTTTTCACATATTGCTACTGAGTTTTAGAACTATTTATTCTGCTTATATTTCCCTCTATTAGGTGGCACTTTTAGCAATGTAACAGTTTCCAATCTATTCAGTCACCAAAAGGTGATTGATGAGATATTGCTCTTCTTTTTGAGTTCAAAATAGGAGTATTATCGTTGTGTCTCATCTGGAAAATTGTTACAGGCTTCTGTATCAGAAGCTGCTTAGAGTCTGGGTTGCCTGCCTAATTTCACTGTTTTGCCAGTTTAAAGAAGCAAATTTAGTCATAAATAGAGTCAGTTCTCAAAATTATAATTTCCTAAGGGAACAGAACATGACTTTGAGGGGTCTTTGAAAGTTATCTGACAGTGTCTGTATTTAATGTCAAATTTTATCATTTGACCCATAGAGAGAGTGTTCTCTCAGGATTCTGACCAGGATTTAGAAAGAAAAAAAAAACATTTTGCAATTGCACTTCAAAGTATGTGAATAACAGGGCAATCTGGTTAGCACCTTTTTCTGAGACTGCTGGAGCTTCCTGTAAATGTATATTTATCTGAATGTTGGACATGTACTGGTATTCATGCTATGTGGAGAAACACCCCTTTCTTAGAGAGGTCAAAATTTCTGGGTTTGTGTTTTCCTTCGGTGTTAATCAGAGTTGCCAGACCAAATCAGAATAAGCCAAACTGATGTGTACACAGTGTTGGCTATGCGGGGTTTAGAGAGTTTGATCCCATTGTGTGTAAAGGTTCTTTGGATCTGTTTAAGTTTTTGTCATTACCAGAGGTAAACCTTGTTGGGATTCAGTCATCATTCATGTTCCGAAGGAAAACGCCGTCATGAATTGATCTGCAATGTTTGCATCCAGTGGGGTGAACATAAAACCAGTATTTCTTCATTAGGATGGTAGGGTGATAATAAACTATTGTGAGTAGTTACATATATGACTAATCAAAGTTCATTTTGTTTTGCAGTTTGAATTATTTTACAGTCAGCATTTTAGTGGAAGGAAGCTTACTTGGTTACATTATCTTTGTACAGGTAAAAACAAGTGCTTTGCTAAACTTGTGATCTATACAACTGACAGTTATTTGCTAGAAGTCCTTTTCAAATGGCAACAGACTGTGGAGTTAGAACAATATTTTGCGTATAAAGTCAACAGATTATTTTGCATTATAAAGTAATATTTACTACTTGGTATTTCCAAAACTTATGTTTTGTAAACTTGCATATGTTACCTGTGATTTATTAAATCCAAGTAAAACTAGAGTTGTATGTTCTTAAATACAGAACTGCGGAGTTTATAATAATTGCCCCAGAATTGTTTTTGTACTATAGATGTCTCTTAGATAAATATTAAATAATTTTAAGAACGCTTATTATACTATTTTAATCAGGTGTATGAGTATCCAAGTAAATAAATATTTATATTTACTATATGGGAGTACATGTTTAACATCTTAGAAGTTATATATAAAATTATAGTTTATTTTAGTAAGTGTCAGTAAATCATGTTTTATTTCAAATGCTTTCAGTATCAGGCTTTAACAACGGAGCACCACAGCATGTTACATGGAGATGACAAACGAGACTAGCGTACAACAGTATAATGTTATGAAAATCTAGTTGGAATTTCTATTTTTATTATTATTATAAATTACATTGTGTTATTTAAAACAGCCTTGTTCTAGTATTCATAGTTAATCAGAGGGGGGTTTTTGTTGTAGACCCCATTCTGTAAGTGTGAATTCACAACATCCGTTGTCATCATCCATTTCAAGTGTTAAATGCAAGCTTGAATTGAATGTGTGGAAATGTATGAGGAGCTTTAGTAGTTAAACTTCAGATGACTTTTCCTAAAATGCTGTTGTATCATTTCAGGTGAAGTAAAAATGAACTATTTGTACAAACCTTATGTAGCCATGGTCACAACATACCAAATGGCAGTGCTGCTTGCCTTCAACAACAGTGAGACTGTCAGTTACAAGGAGCTTCAGGACAGCACACAAATGAATGAGAAGGAACTGACAAAAACCATCAAATCTTTGCTTGATGTCAAAATGATAAACCATGACTCAGACAAGGTATGCTGTAATGATATAAAAAAGTTTCATATTTTCAGTCTTGTCATTCTGATATTTATTGAGGGCTTTTTTTAATATAAAATAATCCATTGTTTACTCTCAAAACTGTATTATTGACCCTTGTGAACAATTATAAATTCGTATTTTTAAGGAAAGAGGTAT